GTGCATTCTACAGCCTACTATAGGGACAATTCGAAGAATAATAATAACTTCGAAATAATGAATTGTTAATCATTGTCAGACGCTTTGCTTCGAAAGCTTTTATCATATATAGATGTTCGTAAATAACTAAAAGAGCAGTGAAACTTACTACAATGTAGAAAACAATGATCGAGCTGTTGCGACGATTTGACAAATGAAAAATTCGAATCCTACTATATACACTGACTGATAGGGGGCTTATGATCAGAACTGATTATTCAGAGATGCAATATGGTGGCCTTCAGCTTCACGGATTCGTGGTTGCTTCCTAGGTATCTGGTGTGCCACAGCTTACCACATCGAAAGCAATATCAAACGTAAGCCTAATGGTTTCATGTTAAATGGAGTCGTGGTCCAACTATTCAACGTGAACCTGGACAAGACGAAATATATTTCTGATTCGACAGACGTACGTAGTTCGGCCTTCGATAATTTACTGATAAAGACCAAACCTACGTGATTTAGCGTTTGGAACGGCGTCTTTAAAATGGCAAAGGGTAATTCTAGCCTTTTTTGTTGTTCTGGCGAGATCAACTGCAATACAGAAGTAGAATTTCAATACACGTTTGGTAAATCCGCACGAACCTGCAGGTTTCTGCAACGACGGCAACTGGGCTCAGCTACATGGCATCTGATATCCTGTAAGCTCAGCAACATTTGAAGCGGTCGGCGACCCAGTCGACCTCGCTTGGGTCAGAGGCATCTTCGGTCAGACCGAGAGAGGCGAAGAATCGAATAAGAGAAACTGGTTACACGCTGACACTCGCTTCTTCATAGATCAACCCAATTGTAATAGGAACGAAACCGTTTATGAGCCATCGTCCGCTTAAATCGAATGCAGCCTCTCGCGATAGTCGACAAGCAATAAATTAACTGGTGATACCGAGTTATTCAATTGCGAGATATACAATCGGATCGTACATCTATTCTGTGAGATCTACTTTTACTAAGAGAAAGTTAGCCAATGTTCAGGCGAGTTCTTCCATATATAAGAAACGACGCTCGATTTCTCACGACTAGTTTCTAGTGTACGGTGCAGCGATGTACGACGGGCAGCGTGACGCCCGATATTCGAACGCGACAGGGCCTACTCTTAATTAAGGACAAATGTCTAAACATATGCTGCTAATTTGTAGAGCGTTTCTATATCATAGTTATTTAAGGTTAGCATCAAACAGAACCCGAATGGTTGTGTTGGTCATAAAAATAAACCTTTGACGGATGTAAGGGCCAAAGAGGATGATGGCACAATGAAGAACAGTCCAGCAAGAAGACTAGATATAGGAGACTATTATACTTTACCTGCGAGTCTATACAGAATTTAACATAACAGTAGCTGTTGTTCGAGGCATTGGATACATCGACATTAGGGCTTTATATATATAGAGTAATGATACATTTATATGTCAGATTGGCGCTCGTTCGTTTTTCTTGGCCGGTAGCTGGAACCCGTTAAAAGCAATGTATAAATGATGCGGATATGTGTACTCAGCATAACGCCATAAATCTTTATACACGTAGTCACTAGCAGAAGCTGTACGGACCCTCAAGAAATGATACGTAAGCAACGCAGCCATATAAACATAACTGTCGAGTACGTATATATATATATATATATATATATATATATATATATATATATATATAGAGAGAGAGAGAGAGAGAGAGAGAGAGAGAGGGAGGGAGGGGAGAGAGATAGAGAGAGAGAGAGAGAGAGAGAGAGAGAGAGAGAGAGAGAGAATGGAGAATTTATTGGTTAGTTAGCATTACTTTTCTCTATACTATTCCTCGAATATTAGCATGGTACAGAAATTAGTAAAGTTAGGAGTGATAGTGTAAATGATTTAAAAGTAACATGATGACATTGTGAAATGGTCGCTATTGTATAATAGAGTTACATAGAAGGATCTACGGTGACCGATAGCATCATGCAATAAGTTGCGACTATCCCAAATATTATGTACAGGTTCGAGCTCAGGCAGTATTTATGCAGGGTGTATATATGCTTCAAGGGTAGGTTAGGAATAATGAATGAAAAATGCTGCCATAAGTGAATTTGCTCGTAGTAAAACTTGTCCCCCCGTTGGGTCGGATGATTACGAGTAGAAAATATGATACAGGTGCTAGTAACCTGAATAAGGGGGCGTACAAGAAGGTCGATAGCGTGCAGTAACATAGTGGCAACGTAGTTAAACATACTATATAATTAACTACGGTTGCTAAGCAAGTTTTAATCGACCCTTAAAAGTCAGGACGTTTGTTGCCTACTATCTAGTATTGAAGCCTAGAGTTAAAGAGCCTAGAGGCTCCTTAACTTAGTGCTTCAAAATAGTTCTTGTTTAGCAGATAATATGTATGCAGCTTTGTTAGAGCTCAGTTGGCGGGTCAGATGATTTCAAGTTAATGATAACCTACTTTGTATTTGGCGATGTTTTTCCTTTTTTTTTTTTTTTTTCTATATTTTGTATATTCTAGAAGTTTAATAGTATAGTGTTCAGTCGCTTGTAGTTTTTCACACGCACCCCCTGAACACGCGCTTCTTTAATAACATACATATAAACATATTTCGGAACATGTAAATGTGTTAAGTTGTAGATCAGAGATTTTTCGTGGCATCGAAAGCGATTGTTAGACCAACAATTCGAGTGACTTTTAATGTGCCTTAATCACTACTAGGATAATTGGGTTATCTAAATATCAGGGAGGATGATTTGTCAGAACGGTAATAAATCATTTTAAATAAATCCAATGATAATATTAATAATAAACTACCTTTCCGCGAGTCAAAACGAATGTTAACAGTAAACAAGCCGGTACATACAGCGGTGGCCTGTTGCGGTCAACGTGTTTTCTTTCTTCCAGGACGGAATACCTACAAGTTTTTTGACTGGTTCACATAGAGCGGCTTGAAAATGTTTACTTATCACCGTATATCGTTACTTGTGCGTTCGTTGATACCAAGGGCTGAATAGTTAGCTGGATGTGATACATAATACAGCAGCAGTGGTCAGCTATGGCTGCGACGTGCGGTTACGTTTGCCTTTCTACGTGAGGTTGTCAAGCTCAGGTCCACATAGGTAGCGTTACGGGGTGAAAGAAACGTTGTTGGGATTATTTTACAATAGGAATCTTTATTCAGGATTTGCTCTCCTGACTAATTGGGAAGCTTGCTTCTCACATGGGGGCTTACATAGGGGCGGTGCCAATCAAAAACTCCCGATAACCTAAGTCGATATGCTACGCATGTTCTAATATTTGAACCTATGTTTCTAGGTTTAAAACCGGGACAAATGTAATAGCAGGCATACTTTACCCTGACTAACGACCGCATTTAAAAATAAAGCGTCGCCACCATCGTTTAATGACACAATTTAGATAACAGCCACTAGGCCCAGTTGAATAGTGCAATTTCCCAGTCGAAGTAAGGTTTAGTTAGTCATTGTCGTAGCAACAATCAGACATTGACCCAGCCAAGCTAAAGCGTATCACTTTGATGTCTGCTTATTCAAGTACGGTCATTGTCATTGCTAGTACAAATAGGAAAGGTGATACTTCGGAACCCTTCAAATTATAGGGGCTAACCACCGTCCTGCTAAGGGCCAGTAAAACATTCTGTACAGACCAGAGCCAATTCCATCTTCTTCGTCCTACAATGACAGTCTATTGCATGGACAATTTATAGTGCTGTTCTGTTAACTAGCGACTGAGTACTGAAATACAACAAGACCCATATCGCGAGCCACAGCCAGCTACACAATAAAAATATGAAGCACCCCTTGCCATAGCTAATCACCAATGATTTAGAAAATAACATTACAAATGGAGTCTCAGTTGCAAAGGTACTAACATTACGATTCCTACTAGAGGCATTTCCCGCTTACTTACTTCGTACAACCGCTGGGCCGACTAGCCACATCGGCGGGAAAGGGCTTCTGCCATTAAACAGATCTGGGGGCATTTTGCTCGGAAAGAATTATGCGGGGGCAGTGGTTCATGAGGAAGCGAATTTAATGATTTCGAATATTCGAGGAAAGCTTATCTCTTAAATGAGGGCATATTTCCGAATCATTACAGACGGCAGCGGCTGCTGTGGAACAATAATCTTTTCTTCTAAAATAGGTCACTGCGATAGATCAGAGGATAAGAAAACAGGATACAACAGGAAACAGAGGGTGGAGTTCAGTGATTGTTGATTTGAACTGTACCAGTTAGGGGGTCGATCGTCAATACAGTTATTATTAATTATACAATTACTCGCAATGGATTAGTTACGAGGATAATAAATAGTAACGCATCTTCATAAGCGAAGTGTAACACATCTCGCAGCTTCACTGACTTACTAAATCTCATTTCGAACCATCTGGTCTGAAGACAACAAAATTTAGAGCCCTTTATTTAAAGTATGGTAGTTCGATATAATAATAATAGGTTAAATAAATATCCTGAAGGAATGGATTCGTCTATCCCTGTTGGAAGTGGGTTTTAATTTAAAACAAATTGTCTGTAAAAAAAAAAAAAAAACACTACGATCTAACTTTGTGATGATATTGATCGACTGTTCTGTTGTATTGTCAGTGGAGGCTTAGCTTCTATATTAATGTAATGTCTATTTTGAGCCTAAAGCTTAAAACAAAATAGATATATAGAGATGTTGTTTACTCATAACGTAACGTAACGTTAGCATTCAATCGGAATCGTTCGGTTCTTCGGATTTATTGCGTTTTTTTACATGTTAGTGCAAATTCTGCGATCTCTACTTGTTTTAGTAACCTATAGAATCTAGGCCACACGCGATGTAATACGGATAAAGTAGTTTTATAGCTAAACTATAGAGTTTACATTAGAAGTATATCAAGCTGATTGTTTCATAGCGTTTTTGTGTTGTGTACACAGTAGTGATTCTGTTATCTTTTACGTGGTTAGTTTCGGGCTTTTGCGTTGCCGGCGCATCGATTGCTTACACTTTCAGTGGCGGAGTCCACGCGGAGTTCACAGGGAGGCTCGTTCCTGGTAGATGATCATTTGGACTTCGTACATAGAACGTACCCGAACAACAAATAAGATATGGCTTATTCTTCGTAGCAATAAATAAACACATCGGCACCTTTGCGTCACTTTTGGACGGAAACTTTTCCGTTCGCCATAGATACCTGGACGGTTTCACGCACCATCAACGCGATCACATCACATCACCGCAACCGCTTATTGTTTCGTCTGTCAGTGCAGAGACGGGCACGCCAGCTGTACTGAGCACGTTCGACTACTATTGCGATACTCCGACAAGGGTGAACTATCAAGCGTATTACCACGATAAGAAATGCGACTTCGTCACGTTGATTGCTAGAAAAAAGACGACGGCAAGCTTTAAATGAACGCGTAGCGACAACTGAACGTATCTATTGCTACGTCCCTAAGTGGTAGGCTGCCAATACAGTGATAGGCTCAGGAACGATGGGGTTCGCTCTGTTAGAGCTCCCCGCCCTCCACCCGCCCCCTCCCCTGAAGTGCTCGCACTGCGTGGTTCAGTCGAATACTGCGTTGAGCTCGTCGTTGTTGTTGGTGTTATTGCTTGCGTTGATGTCTTTGTTAATGTTACAATTGGACAACCACTTCGAGCGGTAGCGATTATGGCATTGCATGCACAATTGAGATGATCCTGCGTCAGCTGATCAAACGTAAGCATAGACGGGAACCTGTCAGATCGGATTAGTGTAATATTACAGCGGGATAGAACGTGCACGTACGACGGCACCACTTTGATCTCAGTCTCTAATCGCACGATATCTACGGGGGCCACTGACAACATGCAACAGTGACCACATCACAAATCCGGGAAACAGCCAATCAGAGACAGTAGCCGACATAGCAAAAGCTGTCTTTTCGTCATGTCACCATGGCTAAACGTTTGATAACGCTTAATGCCGCAGATTGGACGTGTAGCCGCTTCACGTCGCTGCTCGTTGCGCGTGTACCCTATAGATACCGTTTTGCATAGGACACGTCGATTCTGATGTATTCTTTGGAGCGTGCGTCTGCTTGCATTAACGAATAACAGGCCATTCCTGACCTGATATAATTACAGAAATATTTGTAACATGTTGAAAGATCCTGGCCCAGCGTAGGGTCGCTGCTAGCAATCACCGCTGAGTACAACGACACAGATGATACGCAGTAGCTTGTACTAGTACAGAAAAAGATACGAATGACAATCATTGATCGAATTTGAACGTCTGATGACCATTCGAGATTATCGTCTGTTCTTTTCCCTATTTCTTTACTGCTGAAGCGACGATAGATTACAGAAACTTTGGCAACATTTGGGGTTCACAGCGGAAACAACTGCCAACTGACTCCGTCCAAACTTATCAAACTTCACGTGACGACCCGCCGTAAAAAAGCGCAGTTACCGGCGACAGTAGCTGTCTTCTATTTGGTCGAACTCCAAATACCTGAAAAATCTTTGAGTTCACGACATCTCCAGTGCTTTACACATCTCATTATAAGGAGCAGTTTCACTCTGCCTCATCTATAGTCCGACGCGCTCCCCCCGTCTAACACGCGCGACTAAAACGCATGTGTTAAACTAGGACGCCGTTTATGTATGACAGTGGCAAAATTCTCTGCCAGAGGCGTAAAACACGACGGCGATGAGGCTGGGAAGGAGGAGGAGTCGCAGTGGCGATGCTTGCCATTACCGCGGCAGTTTCCGATTGCCAGCGTCAGCGTGGAGCGATTAGATCGAGAGAGCGATTGTTCCAGCGTAAATTTTTGTTTCCATCATCCGTTCGATGGTCGTTTCAAAGCATGGGATTTACAGTGGCTATAGGAAGGCAGACATTCGAGATGGTACTCACGCGCTATCACCATCCACCCTTTCGTTCGTCCGTCTCCAGCTGATTGTGGTTTAGCTAATTGGCCATAGATGGCGCCACGGTCGAGCGGTAACGCAGAGGGAACCCGACTGGCGGTAGATTTGTACTAAATTGTCGAGGTATCTATATTGTTATACCAATCCGAGTTTTGCTATTATCGCGTTGTCGTGTGGTGAACATCTCGTGACAATGACTAAGGTGGCTGTTGTCACTGCTGTTGCTATTATTATATAATTATTTATTCTCACTACGGTGGATACCGTAGTCCGAAATATGGCTTTGTGTCATACTGGGCTAATAATAAGTTTTGATATCATAGCAGATACGAATTTGTACATCTATATGAACATACAATAGAAGTTAGCGGCAGCAAGAAGCAGCTAGGCTAGATGCATTTATGATAATAGCACAAACAAAGGTCTACTTATTTATTGTGTCGGGACGGCCATGCTAAGTGCGAAGGGCGATATATCTTAAGGTCGAACGCGCGTTAAGGAAGGGCCGCGCCCGGGAAACGCGCGACAGGCGGCGATAACAATAGAAAAAGGGTAGACGCCAGTATTCGACGACATTTCACTTAGGCCAGAAACGGCTGCGGGAGTGCAGGGCGGCGTGACGCGTTACAAGCTGCCTGCCCCGCATCATATATGGTCTACATTACAATTATATTATTATATTCACGGAGCGACTGTGCAAGCGAAAAGCTGCCTCCGTGCGTAAACAGTTTAAATCGTCTGTAAGATCGTGCCGATTGTCGGTTGGCACTAAATAATATTGGCAACCTTTGTTGGGTATTTTTGTTCAGAATCTGCAGATTCTGATAAAGGGAGCATGTGCAGGTGTGACTGATTGCTAGTACAAGCAGGCGAAGAGAGGATAGGTTGATTACAGGAAGCCGACCAGGTTATCAGGGAATGTATCATCTGAATTCATGTTTTCAGCTCCCATTACGGATTCGACGTTTTGTATCCCGTTAAAAGCGATTTAGTTGAACTGAGAATTGTATTCTTAACGTATTATTGTACATGTTATATAACATTTTTTTTTTTTGCAAATTGAAGGTATCACATTTATATGAAATTGCCCATTGAGACTAGCTATATTGTTAATAGAAATCGGCCACACGGTGTTTTATCGTAGAACGAATTCATATCCTAGATTAGTTGCTTACAGGTAGATCCTTGTGGTCCAGCATCTCGCATTCGAAGAAAATTAGACCATAATGTCAACTAAGCAGAGCTATTGACATTTAGCAAGCCTTACGAATACAATACATAAGCATTTTATGAGGTCATTAGGTGATTGCTCTTATATCAACTCAAGCTTGTTATTAGGGTACTCTCAATTATGTTAATGGATGTATGGAATGTTTTTCCGGGTAGCCTTTATCTTCAAAAGTCACAAAACGAACAGGCGATTCCTTTAGCTTGATCGATAGTGAGTCAGACGGAACTGCAGCAGTAAATGTTAGGAATAATTATGTAACGTCCTTAAGGCACATTGGGCATTACCTGCATCGTAGCGTAAAACGACCTTAGTCTTTAAGTGCAGCTGGGCCGAGTCTCAACAACTGTCCGTTAATCATTTAAATAACCATTTTAATCAGGACACGTGGCGACCGCTCCATCGCGCCGTCGAAATAATGTCCATTGTCAACGCTCTAGTAATATTTGCCTTAAAAATTCTTTAGAAGGGGAGGACACAGCAATAGATACCTTACGCATGAAACATATTTCTCAGCTAGGTAATGATTAGCTTTCTGTTACTTTTTTCATCTTTGCCCTTTTAAACTTTGCCGCTCTTCCATCATAATCGCATGTACCACACACATTATTATTTTCGATAGCAGCGACATCGCAACACGTATATAAACAGAGGCAGTCGACGCCTAGCCGTTATCACACCGAGAAGTACTGACGTAGAAAGCAGAAACAGAAACCGTTGTACTCTATAAGGTTTACCAGCATAGGAGATAGATAGCTATTTAGCATATATTTATCCATTCGTCTAGCAACAAAGTAGGCTTACTGTATTGAGTACAGAGAAAGGGCCAATATAGCAAACAACGGCAATTTTGTAAGACTTTATATGTGTTGGAGTTGATAGAAACAAGCGGTTGAATCCAGTGCATCAACAAAGGAGTTCACATACTAATGTCAGGGTCACCTGAGGACAATTAAACCTATCTAAGATCGAATAAAGCGTAGACCCACTTCATTTGTAGCCGTGGCCAGCCGTGTGAGGGAATGCTTAACAGCAGCATCCAATGTATAAGCTATTTTTACAGAGGAGAGAAATCACTCGTTTTTAGTGCACGCATCGTTAAAACAAATCGACGCCGTAACGATTGTGGCCATTAGAGTTGGCCGAGATTAAGGTTAAGTGATTTGACATTGGCTTGTTTTGGTTAGGTCAAACTTGAAAGTCGTTCATCCATCCGCACGCCTCGAATTAGTGCTAAAGTGGGAGATAAACCACTTCAAGGAAAAGTCAAAAGGATATTGGTAACAAATAGTATACTCAAAGAACCACAAAATAATCATTTGCCATGCCAAGTTAGCCAGCTATGCGCGTCTGCCATTCATCGATTTTTATTCCTTAGAAAAAAACACCGAGCGTCCGGTGCAGACTGAATTTTTATAAAACCAAAGTAAGTTCTTTAACTGAGTTCTATTTAGCAGCTCGCAAACGTTTAGTATATTTGTTCACTGGAGCTTTGCTATATATTCAAGATGTCCTGAAAGTATCCAGTGTAACAAAAAATGAGGCGTTATAAAAAAAAAAAAACTAAAGAATTAACGTTTAAGATACGAACAGATAAGAAATACTTTTTCTTCTCAGTCTCAACGAACACTGGTTTCTCTGGATGTTTGATGGAACCAAAGTAATCACCATATTGGAGGGAAGCTTGTTACCTTATACATTTCGTAATCTTTTGCGCGAAACGAAAGTCCGGTGAAAGGTACGTTTATGAATTTTGCAATAATAAATATTACTCAACTCAAATCAAACGATACCGCTCTACAAATCTAAACGTCCGTTCTTGTATAAATATAGAAAGGTATATCTTTTATACATGAAAATTGGACAAGTTTTATATTCTTGATCTGTAGATTATTCGTAAGAGACAAAGGTGATCTATATAACTATGCGTCGAGCAAGAAGCTATATATCCTCATTTGATGAAGTTAAGCAGGGAACGATAATCGATATGCGGGCAAAATTAATAAGTTTCCTCAACTGTGTATGCAATGTAACCATCAGTACGAAACCTTGGCGCACAAACTGTTCAGTCAAACTTGTGAAGTAGGTTAGGAGAGTGACGCATGATCGGTTACTTTTACCAAACGAGTCTACCTCTCCTCGAGGCAAAATAGATAGTATAGATCCAATAGCAAATGTCTATAACTTCACTTGCGATTTCTCTGATTACGAATATGTAAAACGTAAAACGTGGCCCAGCAGGCGGCTGCTGAGCAAATTATCAGCCCGAACAAATAGTAAATCAACGAATTTTCACTCTGAATTACAGTCTCATCATGAAAGTACTAAGAATTTCCCAGCGTCTTGTAGCAGATTTTACCTGCCCAAGCGAAAATTATGCACAGTTTGGGTAATTAATTATAGAGCAGCAGGTATTGATCCCCTCTTCATGTCGCCCACGTATCTTCGTACTAATGGCTGCCAAGGGTCAATGCTCTCCATTTACTGTTTTATGAAATAATTTAGCAGGCGCACGCTATTTTCTGGCTTCGAGATTTCCAAGATTCTTCCTGTTGCTGACTGTTACTTTCCAAGGTGTTAGATACTTTGAAGTGACGGGCCCACTCTCATGTCCAGTATGTCGTCTTTATAAAAATAGATGCGGAATAATATGCCGGCAAAAACATGAAGCCTACTGGACTTACCAAACGTAGGCATCCGCTCTTAAAAAGAAACATACAAATTCACTAGCTGGTTAAATTATTTATCAATTCGTTCTTGCAAAGATAGATCGACAATTGTTCATGTAATATTCAATGATAGCCATGTTTGGATGCCACTCACCTAACTAGCTAAAGTCATGCTTGTTTTCGAGTAATTCAAATAGCGGCTTCCCACATATGTCCGAACAGAAATCGACAAAGCGGCTCCAATTCAAGATTCATGGCACGTTTCCCCAAAGAACAGTTTTGCCGAGAACAAAACTTCCAGGACAAGCTTTACCGCATAAATGTTATATCAAAGGCAAGGTCCAGCACGGCGGTGCCGTAAGACGCTTCCTGCGGTTTCTAGATCGGCCATATAGAGGCCCTACGTAAGGTGACTATATAAGATCCATGGCTCAATCGCTTGTTGGAACACACACACAGAGAGGACAAATATTCGACTACTGATAAGTGCCTAGAAAAGGAGCGGGGCTTATATTTAAGTCGCTTTTCATAGTCCCTTTATTCTTCAGTTTCGATACGTCCAGTTGAAGCTTATTGTTCTTTAAAAGAAATGCCGCTGCTTATGAAGGCAGTATTGTACGGATAAACTATCAAGAGATGAAGACCGTCCCTGGCGTTTCTCGCCAGAGTTACTGCAAGTAACGGTGGTGAGTCGACACCTTAAAAGACAAGACTGTCTACTCCGGAGGTAATAAAGGGGTAGTTAACAGCGGCATAAAACTCCCGGAAGCGCATAGATAGACATGAATGTATACCAATCTATGTTTTAATGTGTTGCAAGTTGTCGGTAGTAGCAAGGATTATGACGACGTCCTATAGTGTGCGCACATAGAGGAACATTTGCACGAGGGGGTTAATATCAGCATATCGGCATGGCGATCAATTCTCAAGAAGATAAGATTCTGCACCAGAATATAAATTAAGCGCTATTTAATTTCTAGAGGTCACCTAGCTGATTTTGGCTATTGCGCGGTGTAAATATGTATTGTAGTCGTAGATGAAACCTCTAGAAAGTGAAAATAATTACATATTATATATAAAATTATATACTATAATTATTTTTATAATGGACGACATACAGTATATAACGTTCGGACGTACTACAGTGACCTTAAGCACAATTAAACTTTAGTATAGACAACGTTGTCGATGATTACCGCGTCACCTAGGTACAAACTAGTGAGCCAAATAAGGAGAAAAGAAACGGCACAAACATGCGGCTGACGCCACTTCTTTTTATTAGCTTTTTAACGAAGATTCCGGCCGGTACGGACGAAATGCAAAAAAAAAAAGAATAAAATTTAAGATACAAAACAGATTCAACGTTACGAATTTTACATCCGCTGTTACTGCTGGCAGTTATCATTTTTGAATGGCTGGCCTCTTCCAGTACTAAATTAAACGTGCCTGTCTTTCTCTCGATTTGGACCTAAATCAGCAAACATAACCTTAACTTTAGTGAGTAAACATGTTACCTGTGCACCATTATAGGAATTATACTGATTCGTTCATAATATAATTCTGAATTACTGGCGGCCGATAATTATAAACAAAGTGTTAAGTAACAAAGTTAAAGTGTTAGGCAGAAGAGGACTGCATATAAAACATAATGTTCTTTGTAGGAACACAGTTACCATGGAAACTTGGTTTAAGGATTACATGTATCTTATGGCCACTGCGTTATAGGAAAACCACAGTTGCACACATATACACCCACAGAGACTGGTATGAATAAACATAGGCAAGTCGTTTTTCTATCAGTTCGCTTGTGTTTCAGTACATAAATATATCTTTAAAAACTCTAGATGCTCAGACAGCTAACTTAGCTAAAAAGAGAAATTCTCCCTTGTTTAGATATTTCGCTGGTCCTGACATCGTGTGAAACATTAGTAAGTTAACCTGAAATTTCGCGAAAACTTTAACAGGTTTATTGCGGTGTGCGGATAGTCCAGTCCCACGATAACAGAGGCGGTAGCAGCCTAGTAATAAATTTTGGCCACAGTTCAGAGCCTATGTAACGTCTGTTACATACCTAGATGCCAGTTTAGGTGACATCATACTGTTTTACTCTCATTCGTTCTATTTCTATAGTCGCTACCTCAATCACTCCTAATGGCCACATTAAGTCGTGTGTATCTTTTGTGCAGGGTCCGGCCAAATATTCTTGTTTTTGTTGCTATTTTTTTTTATCGACGCTGCTGGTACTGTCGTAATTGTCGACTTTAAACACAATTCCAACTATCAAAGTGTAATTTGTTTCAAAACGAGGACAAGTCTATTCGTTTTGTGTGTGCAAAACGCATGCAATATGTACACATACCTTGCTAATTTTAGTTTTTTCAGAAATGAACGGACAATTGAGTAGCACTTGACTCCGGATGAGAGTAAATCGAGGTGGAGGCTTTAGAGGGCATCGGAAAAATGAAGCTGATTGTAATGTTTATGAGCTGTATAATTCAATTGGATTTTTGTGAAATTAAATTTGTTTCCGTGTGTAAAAGATGAAAGTAATTTCCATAAATGTTTAAAAACATCCGCATGCTATCGCACATCTTTCCTATTTGGAAAATCAGCTGTGGCCTTTGCTGTCAACGAAAGGTCAACGGCTATAATAAAATAGCCTATTTTGCTGACAATTTTCAATTTCATACAGTCGTATTTTTGCACAATAACTCTGCCCAAGTAAAGTTTTTTTGAACGTGACATTTTCAGGACGATAGCTAAGTGATTTATTTGGGTTTTACGTCCGGCAGGCTGTAACGCATTACTCAGACGACGACCGGCTTTTGCCAACACAAAACGACGTGTGTCAGCGGCCGTTTCCAAACTCGAATCACTACGTGTTTCTACGTTTAGTTGACAAATACTTAGAAAAATTATGATATAATAACACTTACGACTTGATTTTTATTATTAAAATTTGAAATTGTCCAGTTTCTGGGCCGCATCTTGTCTGGGCAGTGGTGGGCCACAAAGTCTGAAATCTTAGAAGACTAAGGAAACCCCATCCCATCTTAGATGTATAGCTTTGCCTCATGTATTGCGGTACAATAGAATATGAATCATACTCTGATAAGCTATAATGAAATCTAAAGACTAATTCACTAGTGAACATTATCTTTATCTCTTTCGACAGGCGCTGTATACAATATTAGTCTCATCGTTTGAGAGTGACTGTGACTTATCCTCTATTATATTATATCATATTGATCCCAACGCTCAGCTTCCATTTTTAGGACGTAAATCTTTAAAATTGCCCGCATTATGGTGTATCTTACATATGAGCGCCCTGTACCTGAATATATTTAACCTATGTATTGACAAGTGAAGTCGCAACAATGCAGCTAACTTATCCAAAACCGATTTTAATAGATTTAAGTTGAATCACAAAATTTCAAGTTGGCTTGTTGTCTAATGGCTCTTCAAGGGTTACCGAAACTCTTCAGTCCGCCATTGTATTTCTGGCATCATATCCTTACGGTCCTTTTCATTTACCTTTTGTTGTCATGGGAATAAATTAATTAGGACAGAAATACTTGTGAAATTTATTTTATTAATAAAATAAATGCCTCCTAATGGTCAAATACCGCTGAATTCGTATGTTTAGAAGCCGTCAAATTGTTTCGAATCACCTGAGTATACTCATTATCATCAACTAATTATAATGATGTATATATCAAAGTATTCTGATATCTATTACACGGAAATAAATATAAAGCACTAAATAAAGACACGCTGATAGAATATGTAACATTGAATCATAGAATCGAAACTTGCCATTGATTTTACCATTTTTTTTTTTACTATTATCGTTGTATTTGTAGGCAGTGCAACGAAGGATGATTCTATTTGGTGCTTTTTAACATTTTGAATTGGTAAAGTGCTGAGGCTAAATATCGGAAAAGGGTTCTATCTTACCTGATATCTCTCAGTTTAATTACCGTAGCTAAGAACATTTGCGCTTGTGGCACGATGGAAACCATATTTGATATATTACGAACGCCAAATATAAAGACGATCACACTGATTT